AATCTCAGATGATGGTTAGCATTTTTTTAGCAATAAAGTTTTTTTTGGGGGGGGGAACCAACATAGTATTTTTTAATTAAGGTATGTACATTGTTTTTTAGACATAATGCTACTGCACACTAATAGACTACAGTACAGTGTAAACATAATTTTTATAGGCACTGGAAAAAAAAAATTCTGGGGCACCACAGTGGCTCAGTCAGTTAAGTGTTTGCCTTTGGCTCAGATCATAATCCCAGGGTCCTGGGGTCAAGGACTGACACAGTGGGGAGTCTGCTTCTCCCTCTCCCTCTGCCCCTCCCCCCACCACTTGTGATCTCTTTCTCTCAAATAAATAAATAAATTCTTAAAAAAAAAAGAAAACCAAAAATCTCATTTGACTTGCTTTATTGCAATATTTGTTTTATTTTGGTCTGGAACCAAACCTACAACATCTCCAAGGTGTGCCTATATACAGACACCCAACCAAAAAACTTAGCAGAAATTATAACATAGTGCCAAAAAGTGGGAAAAAAAGAAAAGAATTACAGATAAGCATTTTTCCAAAAGGGTACTAATGGCACTTGGAGCAGTATAATTTTTTAATTAAGCAGGATTAACCTACTCATTTCAGTATGTTCAGCCACCCAAGCCTGTCAGTACTTGACACTAACGATGCAAGCAAAGTTCATCCACAAGGCCACTCATCACAGCATCATTATACAATTTTTAAATGAAATAATCTTAATGCATAAAAACAAACTACTGATTAAATGTAAATATAACGTATCAAAATAATAGAATATATTGTAACCACTAAAAATGATACTGTACTTCCTCTAAGATGATTAACTTGATGAAGATGATACTGACATCCATAAATTACATTGCCTTGAATAAATCCCTCTCAGCATGGAAAATAAGAAAGGGGCCAAAATGGACCATAAATATGAGAAACATCTTAAAGACAGAAAGATGTGCTCACAAACCCAGAGGAGAAAAATCATAATTCAAAACCCAAATGGTGCATACAGTGGAATAGGAAGCTGCTTTTTCTCAAAAAGTTCCAGAGAAAGGCTTTAAGTACCAATTGGTAAACACAGAGAACAGAAGGCAAAAGGAATCAAGAAAACTAATAAAGGAACCACTTACCAAAAAGCTGAGTTTCTCACTCACCTGCAGCATTTACCTACAGCAAATGGCCAAAGACTGTTTTCCTCAATCAAAAGAAAGTCTTAAATCTTCAGGTTGAAAGGACCCACCAAAAGCTAAGAAGGTTGGATTTTTTAAAAACCCAAATTAATCAATGATACTAAATGTTACAATATTACACATAAAGAGAAAATCCAAAAGTTTAAGCAAGCTACCTAGAAAGAAATAAGAATCATACTTGCACTGGGATCACACATGTACTTGGCAGCACCTCTGTATGCTAAAAGAAGACACTAAACCTATACTTTCAAAAATCTGAAGAAAATCACGTTGACATAAAATTTCATATTGGAAGCCTGGGTGGCTCAGTTGGTTGTGCGTCTGCCTTCAGCTCAGGTCATGATCCCAGGGTCCTGAGATCAAGTCCTGCGTCAGGCTCCCTGCTGAGCAGGAAGCCTGCTTCTCCCTCTCCCTCTGCCTGCTGCTTCCCCTGCTCATGCTCTCTCTCTCTCTCAGATAAACAAATAAAATCTTAAAAGAAAAATCTTTAAAAATTAAAACAAATAAAATAAAATTTCATATTCAGCTAAATTATCAGTCAAGCATAAGGACAAATGAAAGACATTTTCAGGCACATAAGGAGTCAGAAATTAGAATACTTGTGCATCCTTTCTGAGAAATAATTTTGAAAACCCAACAAAAAGAAAAACAAAGATGTGGGAACCCAGAAACTGTGGAACTAGTCTAAGAGTACAATGAAAAGAAATTCTAGAATAACCATGAATAGGTTTAGAAAGCAATTGGTCCAAATTCATACCAGAAGCCAACAGGGCTCAAGGAAGAATGTCTTCAGTCACTATACAAACACAGACATTCTTATTATAAGAAAAAGGAGAAAAGAAGGGCAATTAGAAATTCCAAGGGGAAATAATGTTGTCCAGGAACACCAAGGTATAGATATTAAACAGACTTAAATGTAGCATTATTTGGGTAACTAACTAATGGACTACACAGAAAGACAGTGTATTTGACTTTGATATTGAGAATATTCTTCTTTGAAAGACAAAGATTGAATGGTATACCATTCTTCCTTTTTAACAGGTTGAAACATACTAAACAGTTCTCTAGGAAATAATGTTCACATAATTATAAAACTATAAATGCCACTTAAACAGGTTTCCAATTTCAAAAGTCAACTCAAATTCCAAATTCTCTCATTGTATGACATGTGGACAACATCAGAATTATCTGGAAAGCTTATTTTAAAAAGACTTCTGGACCTCATCCCTAGAGATTCAGTTGATCAGGGGAAAGTCCCAGAGATGTGCCTTTTAACAAATTCGCCAGGTATATTTTTTGCACACTAAAATTTCGAGAATCATAGCTGTAAAGCAATAATCTCCAAAATTTTCCATTACATACCTTACCAGCAAAAGGCTTTTGAGTATCCACCCCCAAATATATGTGCACTTATTTACAAATTATATATATTTACTTTTATATGTATATTATGTATACTGAAAAATAGAAATCTCAAAGGATAAGACAAATGACCCAATATTTTAACATTTGTCTTGACCAAGAAAGTGAAAATTAAAGATAGTTTTAGCGAGTTTAAAAAAAATACCAAATTAATCAAAACCACAAGGAGATACCACCTCACACCAGTCAGAATGCCTAAAATTAACAAGTCAGGAAACGACAGATGTTGGCGAGGATGCAGAGAACGGGGAATCCTCTTACACTGTGGGTGGGAATGCAAGCTGGTGCAGCCACTCTGGAAAAAGTATGGAGGTTCCTCAAAAAGTTGAAAATAGAGCTACCCTATGACCCAGCAATTATAGTATTAGGTATTTACCCCAAAGATACAAATGTAGTGATCCAAAGAGGCACCTGCACCCCAATGTTTATAGCAGCAATGTCCACAATAGCCAAACCATAGAAAGAGCCCAGATGTCCATCGACAGATGAACAGATAAAGGTGTGGTATGTATAAATAAAATACTACTCAGCCATCAAAAAGAATGAGATCTTGCCATTTACAACGATGTGGATGGAACTAGAAGGTATTATGCTAAGCAAAATAAGTCAATGAGAGAAAGGCAATTATCATATGATCTCACTCATATGTAGAATTTAAGAAACAAAACAGGGGATCATAGGGGAAGAGAGGAAAAAATAAAACAAGATGAAACCAGAGAGGGAGACAAACCATAAGAGACTCTTAATCATAGGAAATAAACTGAGGGCTGCTGGAGGGGAGAGGGGTGTAGGGATGGGGTAACTGGGTGATGGACATTAAGGAGGGCGTGTGATGTAATGAGCACTCAGTATTATATAAGACTGATGAATCACTGACCTCTACCTCTGAAACCAACAATACATTATACGTCAATTAATAGAATTTAAATTAAAAAAATAAATAAATAAAAATACCAAATTAGAAAATTGGAAAATATATACAAATAAAATGAGAGGAGTATAACGAAAGAATCACAGAAATGACTACTGAGGGTGCCTCGGTGGCTCAGTCGTTGGGCGTCTGCCTTTGGCTCAGGGCATGATCCCAGGGTCCTGGGATGGAGCCCTGCGCCCTGCATCGGGCTCCCTGCTCAGCGGGAAGCCTGCTTCTCCCTCTCCCATTCCCCCTGCTTGTGTTCCCTCTCTTGCTGTGTCTCTCTCTGTCAAATAAATAAATAAAATCTTAAAAAAAAAAAAAAGAAAGAAATGACTACTGAAATCCCAAGAATATATCTTCTAGAAGGCTTATTCAGCTAGAAAATAGAATGGGATTGAGAGTGAGGATTTTATCTCAAGGATGACTGAGGAAGTAACAGGGTACTGCAACAAAAGGCTAATTCTGATTATCAAAAGGGAAAAACTGATTGATGAGCTGGACATATAAGCAACATGAAGAGAAAGTAATTACACTATTTTAAGAGTTCACAATAACCAAGGATGGTAAAACTATACATAGGTATGATTCACAGAATTTAAAAAGTTAATTCCAGAGAACACTGGAATGATCTTAGCGCTAGACACACCAAAGGGGAATAAAGTTCAAGTTACAAAAAATGATATTCAGATTATATAATCATGATTCCAATAAAGAAAAAGAAAAAGGCATCCATCCATATGCTTAGCTTTTCCTTAGGCAATGTACTGAAATCCATTTAACAGGAAACCAAGTGTTTTAATTGCTATGCGAAGCATCATGGAACTCCTGTATACCAAATGTTTGGTAAAGAGTACCCAGCATCACTCCACTGTTTCTAATGACCAAGAAGAGGGCCAATAATCTAACAGTTAAATGAATGGGCATCCACCACAGTGTGATATAGACTGCTAAGTGAAATCCCTCAGTCTATTCCAGAACACTTACTCTATTCTGGCACGGTCATCTCAGGCTTTGAAGTACACACTGCAGCTACCTCAGGGGAAAAGCGAGCCATGTCTAGGAAGGATCATGTCTAGAAAGTTGTCAACAGAGGCAGTTTCAGAGTAAAAAGCCAAATAACAGGTACTTCTCCAATTTTTAAAGTTGAGCTGTAATAGCTCAACACAAACATATACACACACAGAGAGACACACAGAGAGACACAAAGAGACACACACAGCATCCGAGTCATAGTTTTATCTCTTACCTGCCAACTTCCCAAATATGTCAGAATACGAGCAGGAGATATGGCCTATTTGTAGCTGGTGAATTGGCCCCCCTTGAAATAGGTCCAATAATTATAACATCATGCTCCCCATTCATTTGGAAATCAAATCTCTTTAGGGACTTAATGCCAAGTTTTAATTTTAATAATAAGGCAAAACAAATTCAACAAACCAAATCCTCATGGAAAAATAACTTGGGAGCTCACCTTTCCACAATCAAACTGACTGCTTGTGCAAGATCTGGGTTTGTCACCTGGAGACGTTTCCACAGAGACCATACAAATTCTTTATCAGCCTTAAAGAAACAAAAGACATTTTTAATGCACTGCTTTGTAGCTAAATCAGTGAAGACAGTACATTAAATTAAAAAATGAAAAAACAATTACTTGATCTCTAGTTCTGTAACTCTAAAATAGATTCTTGCAAAGTATAACAGGAAAGCTTTATTTTAAAAAGTTCTTACACTGCTACTCCACATTCACTTTTACTATTTCTACCACCCATACTTTAGGGTTGTAAGTAAATGCTGGAATGCTGAATAAATTTGGCTCTAAAAGAGAATTGTTCTCTATTTACCACTCCAGTTTTCAGCTCCCCTTTTCAGCAAAATTCCTTGGAAGAGTTGCCTATAATGGTCTCCACTTCCTCACTTCCATTCACTCTATTACAACCTCCAGTCAGATGTCCCTCCCCAATATGATGCTAAATTCCTTTTTCAAGGTCCTCTATGTAGCCAAATCCCATAGACAATGGGCAGTTTTAGTCTTAATTTTTTTAATTAACATATAATGTATTGTTTCAGGAGTACAGGTCTGTGATTCATCAGTCTTACACAATTCACAGTGCTCACCATCGTACTTACCCTCCCCAGTGTCCATCACCCAGCCACCCCATCCCCCCACCCCCCTCCACTCCAGCAACCCTCAGTTTGTTTCCTGAGATTAAGAGTCCCCTGTGGTTTGTCTCCCTCTCTGGTTTCATCTTGTTTCATTTTTCTGGGCAGTTTTAGTCTTAATGCCTAGGTTGGTTGTTATGACAGCTGTGGTTGAGAGTCAGAAGTCACTTTGGGGGAAGTTTTTAAAAATAGTGATGATCTAGAGATTCTGATTTAATTGGTTTCAGGTAAGGTTCAAGCACCAGTATTTTTTTAAAGTTCCTCAGGTGATTCTGTGCACTCAAGGTTGAGAACCATTGCTCTAGGGGACCTCATTCAGTCCCACAGTTTTATGTGTCAACTGTACACTGAGGACTTCCAACATTTCCATCCTTAGCGGTTTTCTCCACCCCTAGGTGCAGACTCCAATCTCCAACTGCCTACTCAATAATTCCACTTGAATACCTAATAGATATCTCAAATTTAACTTATCCAAAAAAATTCTTGATTTCCTACTCTTTCACAAACCTACTCCTCTCTGTAGCTCAGAAAATGACACCACCATCAAGTCATTTGTTCAAAGGCCTAACACCTACAAGTCAATTCTGTTCTCTTTTCCTCATACTTCATATCCAATCAGTAAATCCTATTGTCTTTACCTACAACATATATCCCATTCTAACCACTTCTCACCACCTCCACCACCATCTTCCTAGTCCAAGTCAACCCCATCTCTTGCCTAGCCATCCATGATGATCCCCTGGCCTCCTTATAGCTCAAAATCCTCCAATGGATTCCCATCAGATTAGGAAAATAACCCAAATTCTGTAACAAGGCTACAAGACCCCACATTATCTGACCCCATACACAACCTCATCTATCACTCTCTCCATTCATTATACACACTGGTTTTCTTGTTCTGCTTGTACCAGGGCCTTTGCACATGTACCATCCACCAGATTTTCATGTAGATTATTTCCTCACTTCATTCAGGTCTTTGCTTAAATGTCACCTCAAGAGAAATCTTCCCTACTATATAGCCACCCAAACTCATAAGTCTCTGATAACCCTTTACCCTGTTTAATTTGTTTTTTTCACAGCGCATTTCACAGTATTATATTTGGTTGGTTGGTTTTACTTGTGTGACAGATATTTCTATTGGTGTCTGTGTCCATCATCCAGTCTCTCCTTCCTATTAGTAACTGAAACCACTTGGCTCTTTGCTGTCCAATTAAAAGCCTGGCCCCTCTTACATATGGATGTGACTAAGTTCTGCCAATGAAATATAAAAGTTATTGCTAGAAATCTTAAAATTAGACTTATGTCTACCAAATGTGTTACAAATATTTTTTCCTAGTATATTGTTGCTTCTTTAATTTTATGATGGAGTGTTTTTGAAAAAGGGTAATTATTACTTTTATATATTCATATTTATCCATCTTTTCCACTATGGCTTATGGATTTTATGTATCAATTTTTCTAACTGGCCTTCTCTACTCAGAGATTAGAAATATATCTACCTATATACTTCTAAAACTTTTGTTTTCATTTTTTAATGCTCAAATCTTTGATCTACTCTGTTTGATTGATAACTTATTTGTTTTCAAAAGACTTTTGACAGCCTGAGTACTAGAGAGTACTACTTACCTAAACATTCCTATATATCATGCTTTACTTTATCCCTTTAGAAACAAGAATTTAGAATTTGGGTATTAAAATGATTCAAATTAAAAACAAGAAATGTCGGTATATAAATCACGTCATAACCTGCCTGGAAGGTAGTGAAGGTAAGAAAGAATAAGCCATGCAACATAATGTGCTATGTAATCTCTCTATTTTTAAAAGGCATGTTGAGGAAATCACAAAATCCCTTGAAACCTATGTTATCTATAAATTTATCTTACAGCTCACTTCAAAACAAAATAGCAAAGATTTACATGTATTTTCACCTCAACTTTTCTACCTAAAATACTAAGGTTAGCATTAGGTAAAAATGTAAAAGAGTAGGTTTTCATCATTTATGAGTTACTTCCACTTAAATATGACTTTTTTTTAAGATTTTATTTATTTATTTGACAGAGAAAGAGACAGCGAGAGAGGGAACAAAAGCAGGGGGAGTGGGAGAGAGAGAAGCAGGCTTCCCGCTGAGCAGGGAGCCTGATGCGGGGCTCGATCCCTGGGATCATGACTTGAGCCAGAGGCAGACGCTTAACGACTGAGCAACCCAGGTGCCCCTAAATATGACTTAATAACAAAGGACTTAGCTCTAGCAGTGAAAGAGATATAGCAAGAAATCCAAAAAAATCTGATGAAAAAAATCTACATCACAGAGTTTATTAAACTCAGCCTACAAAAGAGTTGACTAAATGCTTGGAGATCTGAGTCTAAATTATCTTAGTAATGGATTGGCCTTGACTTTCACGTATTAGCTGGTATAGAAATAAGAATCAACTTGGCAGACACAGACAACCAAAATTATCTTTTTCACTGGGTACATACTTTCCCAGCACCAAGTTCAGTGTCTGGCAACATAAGAGACCCTCAATTTACCTCTACTGGAGGAATGAATTCAACAAACATATAAAAACTATTTCCTGCATTTAATAATTTGCCTATCAGAACCCAGGGAAAACAATGGAATGGGAATTTAATTACAAAGTATGGCACAAAGTAGCCTCTCAATAAATTATTATTATGAAAAATAATTGCACAAAACGATTCACATAACCAAAATACAACTACTAACACTGGTGAGAATTCTAATTGTACAGTAGGTTTTCAAAATTTTTTTTCTTTATGAATGACCGGATAAGTTTTCAACACACCTAAATATATAACAAAAAATATAACTAGTCATATAATCTTAATTCCAACATCACATGCTTCATTAAACTTAGTTTCATCACTAAAGTTGGAGTAATAAACATATATTTCATTTATTTTATTTTATTTTAAAGTAAATTCTACATCCAATGCAGGGCTAGAACACGACCTGGAGATCAAGAGTCGCATGCTCTACCGACTGATCCAGCCAGATATCAACATATATTTCATTTAAATGCCCTAATTACTTTTTAACCCAAAATTGGCTTATAGGTTTAGTGAATATTTTTGGCTGCTACTGAAAAAGGAAATAGCTCTGAGAGATATATATGTATGTCACACACATATATATATGTGTATATATATATATGTGTGTGTGTATATATATATATATACACACACACATATATAGCACTACTTCTTCTCTTCTGGTATTCTACAGGTGGTGATAAATGTGCACATACACACACACTTGGAATATCCTGAACTGCAAATAGAACACATTCTTGAAACTCATAATCAAAATTAGTAAGAGTACGGTGAAGTTGGGTTCTAAATCAATGAATAAGGCATAAATGTCACAAAATTAAAACGTCCTTTGAAGCACCCTTGAAATTTCATTAGGAAAAGCTACATTAGGAAGCCAATGTCTTATTCTCAGTAGGTCCAATACAGACAGCTTTTCTCCCCACACTGAAGTTAATCATGTTTTCTTCAGCTAAGCATTATGTGCATGTTGCTTGCTAGTAGGGAGCCATATGGAAAAAAAAAAAAAAACCTTTAATATTACAATCACATAGAGTTGGATGAGAAACACTTGGAATTGAGATTGTTTTCTTTTTAAGCTTATTCTGAGTAATTCCAATGGGGTGGAATAGTACATGGACCCAGTCAAACTTTCTTTTCTCCACCAAGTACATATAATTAAATTCCTGTAAGCTAAATGTGGGGGGAAAAAAAAAACTAATCTGTATGAAGCTACTATTAATGACCAGAGACTAATTAGCAGGATTCTTTTTACCCAAACTGTACATTTGACCCATTTCTATGTCAAATTAATTTAGTAGATCTGAGCAGTATTTTCTCAAAAAGTAGAATTTAGGGTGCCTGGGTGGCTCAGTTGGTTAAGCGACTGCCTTCGGCTCAGGTCATGATCCTGGAGTCCCAGGATCGAGTCCCGCATCAGGCTCCCTCCTCAGCGGGGAGTCTGCTTCTCCCTCTGACCCTCTTCCCTCTCATGCTCTCTTTATCTCTCATTCTCTCTCTCTCAAATAAATAAATAAAACCTTTAAAAAAAAAAAGTAGAATTTAAAAGAAAAATCAGAGTCCACGATGAACAGTTAGGGTAAACATTCTTTCTGAAATTCTAGGTATGTGTATGTGCATATACTTACTACAATAAGATGAAAAATGAGTTTATTTTGGGTTGCAATTTTTGAAAGGTTTGAAAAACAGGGTTAATACTATGTTTTTGGGTAATGTGATTTCTAGCTGAGTAAGTAGAATAAAAAAGGTCTAAAAGTGAATTAATTATGTAAATGTTTTTTTAATAAAACAATTGGGAGTTCAATTATTATTTCTCCCAAGTTTCCCCAAAAGCAGGAGTGTGGTTTGACCAGTTTTGAATGGGTTACTGCCAATCTCATCTCACATTACTGGAATGTCTATGATCATCTAACAGTGTCAATATTACAAAAATCTCAAGAACCACCTCTAGCCTAATTATTCTTACATCTGTCTAGAGCACTTTAATCATCTTCCTAGTCCATATATTTCCAATATCACAAGGGCTGACACCGTATTTGAAACTACATTTTTAAAGAATAGGGAATGGATTTGGGGGATGGGGTCAGTGGGCTGTTTCCAACAGAGTGATTTCCCTAATCAAGTCAGTTATAAAAAGTATCTCAGCTCCTTAGCCAGCTGTAACTATGGGATATATAGAGAAAGGGAAAGAGGAAAGTATAGAAGGTATGGGTAAAGAGCATCTGAGATTGGGACTTGTCAAAGTAACAAAAGCCTTTATCAGGGGTTAACATCTTTATCCAAGGGTGAGGTGTGTAGATGAAAAAATGCTTTAGTTCACTGGTGTCTCTTACTTGTTCCTTTGCTCCTTATCCAGTGAAGAACAGAAAATGGGAAAATGAAAAAGAAGCAGTCACATATTATTTCCCCAACCTGTTTAAGCAAATGCATATTCAATTTGAACAAAATTGTCCTGTTTTTACAGCTTTGACTCAATCACCAAGGACCTGCTAAAGGGGCAAAAGAACCCAATAGAACAAACTATGAAAGAGAATCAATTTCATGAATTTTTACTAATCTAAACTGATGATAGTGTTCATAAAGTTACCTTGGTTGTTAGCAGTTCCTAATTGGTTCTATCTTGAAGATAGAGTGATTAAAAGATTTATTGTTGAGTGAATCCCCAACATTTATATCGCCCAACCCTGTCTAAAGTTTCTGGTAAAATCAGAGAAGAGATGGTGGTAAGGATGCAAAACTAAAATGAAATCAAATTTCTTTGAACATGAGTGCAGCCAAGCCATCTTTAATAACTCTACAAATAACAGGCAAGTAAATTAACATAATTGATTTACTAAATGCTTTTCACTGGCAAGATGACATGAAAATGAAATTTCTCTCTCAAGGGCTATAGAATTAGTATAGCTAGTTAATAAACATTAAGCATCATCTATTATGTGTGAAAGTTCCCGGCCTGACTCCCTAAAAATTATTGATCTGTGTTTACCACTTAAGTTTAACTTAGGTTGACTTAAGAACAAGTGTGGGTTTGAAAATTAAAAACAGGCTCCTTCATCGATAGATTTTATTTTAATAGACGTGTTTCCACTTTCCTGTTCAACGTAACAACTCGTGGACTGCACTCAACTCCTCTCCAAGTACCACCTAACAATCACGACCGGGAACTTGGGCTTTGGGACCGGGGGGGGGGGGGGGGAGGCGGTGCGACTGCACGTTTTGGTGGTATCCAAATGAAGAAAACCAAAACCAGGGCGCCAAGGCGAACCCTGCCCGGCCTGTCCGGAGAGGGGCGGAAGCCCCAGGTCGGGGAGCCGGGCGCTGCCGCGTCCCCCCAGCAGCAAGCAGCGGGCCGGGCTGGGTGTGGAAGCCAAGAGGGAGCGCCGCGGGGCGGAGATGGGTGGGTCCCGAACCCGCTCAGCGACGCAGCCTAAGGCAGAGGGAGAGGGGCGCGCCTCCCCAACGGCCCGGCCCCGGCCCCGCTGAGTAGGGGAAAGGCCGGCGGCCACCTCGATACCTGACACAGGGCCAGCTCCTCCTTTAGGCTGCTCAGCTCTTCCTCCAGCAGCTGCGTCCGGGTCACCATCGCCTCCTCTACCGAGATGCCCTCTAGCCGCTTGGACCCCTTGGGCGAGCTGAGGAGGGGAGCCTGAGCCGGAGCTGCCCGCCCTGGCCCTTGCCGGCCCCCTGACCCTTCTTCGCCCCGCCAGCATATATCGTTTTTGTCCACGACGTCCTCCCGCACTGCGCTCGCAAGACCCGAGGCCTCGCTGCGTACTGCATGTACCACAGTTCCCCGCCCAACACCTGGGGACCGGGGGACCAACTGTCGCGCTGGGGGCGGAGGGAGCGGTGAGGGCGGTGAGTGCGCCGCCATGGCCGCGGCTGCTAACGGGTCAAGTTCTCTGTTGGAAACTCCACCTCCCCTTCCCCATCCTGGCGAGCCCGGAGCTCCGAGCCGCGCATGCGCGAGCCTTTTCCCGCCTTGGCGCGCGGGGTCTCGCGCTCGCGGATCCTGGCCGGCTTTCCGCGGGACGCGCGCCCGGCGCCGGCGCTGGACTACGCACGCGCAGTGGCCCAAGAGGTTAGGCCTGACCTCGGCGCGCGCCACCCCGACAGGCGCTGTCCGAGTCTTCGGTTCCCAAAGCCACGCCTGCCCGCCCACCTAAAATCCTACCCGCCACTTAGCGTCTAGCTTACCTTCCACCTCCTACAGTCTTCCTTGACAAGCCCCTTGCCCCAAATGATCCTTAACTGTGAATTCCTCCGCCTTCAAGGCCCCTGCCAACTCGTTTGTCACGTTTCATTGACCGCCCTGGAGTGTTAGTTACACGGCTAATCTCTCCAGCGCTGTTGTAAACTCCTTGAGGATCAGGGAATAAGTTTTACACTTAAGTGTTTTCTTCACACCCTTTAGCAAAACTGCTTTAGGTACAGCTGACATCCAGCAAGCCGACTGATGTCAGGGAGATGTGGAAAGCCTTGTGTTGAGCTGGGACTATCAGGCGGATTTCCCATTTGAATTATGATCCTTTGCGCACCCTTTGTCTTTTGTTTTGCAAGAGTCATGGTTTCCTTTGAGTTTTTATGGCGGCTTCTTTATGCAATTGGCTGAATATCACAGCGAGTGTGACCCACACGGCCCCACAGTTTGGGTCCTTGGACCAATTTGAAATCAGTAATTCTGAGTTTAAAGAAACAAGATCAGTTTTCTTTCTGCCGGCTCATTCTTTCTGCCTCCCTCCCTCTCTCCCTCTTGGTCTCCCTTTTTCCTTCCTTCCTTCCTTCCTTCCTTCTTTATAAACTTCAAATAGGCAATAACCATCTTTTTCTTGGCCATGATAACACATCCTACTCGTGATGATTTTACTAAAGGGATCCACATTGAGCTAGCACTAGAGTTCTACCAAAAGCTAGATTGCTTTCTTCTGCAGAAAGGGTTCCAGAACACAGAGAGATGAGGTGGGGGAAGGAGAACTGTGGAAGTAGGGAGGTGACTATTTTAACTGAAGACCTCTTCATTTAATCATAATTACTGCTTTGTGCCAGAATTTAGTCAGCACATCAAAAGACACCCTCCCGATTAGAATCCTGCTAAGGCAGGATGAGTGGGCTTCCTTCCCACCAAAGGTAAACACCTCACAAAATTTATAAAAGGATTATGTTAGAAAAAGTACACAAAAGCCTGTCTTAGAAGTAACTCCCGGGCGCCTGGGTGGCTCAGATGGTTAAGCGTCTGCCTTCGGCTCAGGTCATGATCCCAGAGTCCTGGGATCGAGCCCCGCATCGGGCTCCCTGCTTGGTGGGGAGTCTGTTTCTCCCTCTCCCTCTACTCTTTCCCCTGCTTGTGCTCTCTCACTCTCTCTGTCAAATAAATAAATAAAATCTTAAAAAAAAAAAAAAGTAACTCCCATACTGAATATTTACTATATGCTGGGTCCAGGACTAAATACTATTCATATATGTACTTACTCAGTTCTTACATCATGGTAAAATAGATATTATTCCCACTTTACTTGTGAGAAAACTGAGACTTGAGAGATTACTGTACCCTGCCCAATGTCCCACATCTGTTATTAGAAAAGCAGAATATGGATCCACTTAACTCTAAAACCTGTCTCTGATCCCTACCCTTACTCTGTACCTGTCACTTGAAATACAGCATTATGTCTGAGCTTGTGAGATTTCACTGGGTTTAAGACTGGGAATTCTAATCACATAATTCAAAAGGTGTCACAAAATCAATATGAATGCACATTCTTAATGGCTATTTGTTGTTCACTCAAAAAGGTATCATTTCATCCGATTATAGAAAGATTCTTTTGAAAAACAGTGAAATCTCTTCTATTATATACAAGAATAAATATACATTCTTGACTCAAAAGAATATCCTGAATCTATGACTAGGTAGACAATTTTTTTTCTTTTTTATTTATGGTAAAGTACACAAAACATAAAATGTACCATTATAACCATTTAAAGGGGCTACAAATAAAGTGTCTTTAAGTATATTCACAGTGTTTGGCAAACATCACCACTATCTAGTTCCAGAATATTTTCACCCCCCCAAACCAAAACCCCATATCCATTATTCACTCCCCATTTCCACTACCCATCTCACCCCTTAGGCTCCAGGTAACCACCAACCTGCGATCTGTCTTTGTGGATTTGCCTCTTCTGAATATTTCATACAAATGGAACCGTAACATGTGACCTTTTACATCTGGCTTCTTTCACTTAGCATTGTTCTCAAGTTTCATCCATTTTGTAGCATGTATTTACTTCATTTTCTTTTAGCCAAATAACAATCCTTTATGTGGGTATACCACAATGTGTTTCTCCATTCATCCTCTGATGGATATTTGGGTTGTTTCTACCTTTTGCCTATTGTGACTAGAGCTGCTATGAACATTCACATATGGGTTATTGTTTGAACACCTATTCTCAATTATTTTATATATATATTCTAGGAGTGGAATCGCTGGGTCATACGGTAAGTCTATGTTTAACTTACTGAGGAACTACCAAACTGTTTTCCACAGAGGCTGCACCATTTTACATTTCCACCAACAATGTATGAGAGTTTCAGTTTTTCCACGTCCTCACCAACACTTGTTATGCTCCCTTTTTTATGGCCATACTAGTGGGTCTGAAGTGGTATCTCAATATGGCTTTGATTTACATTTCCCGAATGACTAATGACATTGACCATCTTTTCATGTGCTTTTTGGACATTTATCTTTTTTGAAGAAATGTCAATTTCAAGTCTTTTGTCCATTTTCTAATTGCGTTGTTTATTTATTGTTGAATTATAAAAGTTCTTTACTGGCAGACAATTTTTAAGCATAAAAAATTGCACATTTTCAGAAGGTACATAGGGATTTCTTTCTTGTATTATTTGCAAAAATGACACAAATGTGAAATACTGAATATTAAATCTGTAACTCAGAAAGATAAGTTAGGGGCACCTTAGTGGCTCCGTTGGTTGGGTGTCTGCCTTCAGCTCAGGTCGTGGTCCTGGACTCCTGGGATCAAGCCCCGTGTTGGGCTCCCTGCTCGGCAGGGAGTCTGTTTCTCCCTGTCCCTCTGCTCCTTCTCTTTCTCGCTCGCTCACTTTCTCCCTCAAATAAATAAATAAAATCTTTAAAAAAAAGAAAGAAAGAAAGAAACCATCGGGACAGTTTAAAAAAAAAAGTTAAAGATCTATAATACTAACTGGATAAAAATGTCCAAAACAAACAATGTCTCTCCTGTGCATTCTTTGTGCAAATGTTTAAAAGTGATGATGTCTGTTCTACAGAAATTAATAATAAAGTCTGCCAGGATGAAATATATTAGAATATAGAAACACATAATTCTCTCCATATCATCATTGTATAGTTGAAATATTGTGGAAAATGAGGTAAATGTGCAAATTAGTATGGTATTTAAATGCATCTCTCATTTGAATTTTAAATACTTATTTCTAACTTCTATTTAAGAAGAGAAATGTATTAGCAGTTTCTCAGCCTTGACGGTTCTTTGTTTCCAGAAAAAAATGCCAAATTTTCAGACATTTATTTCTCCTTTACAGATTTGGTATAATCTTTATTCGGTCAGCAGAATTTAATTATTAAATTTTAAACCACTATTAGGTACTGATAAGACCTTAAATATCATCGATTTTTTTCATATCATTTTGAAATTTATTGCAATTTTTAGGGTTTTACTAAGTGAGTCAAATCAAGAATGGCCTACTGCCCACCTCTTCAACGTTAAAATAGAAACCCACATGCTGAATGTGCCAATGTGACACTTGAGACAGCAGCAGACATATCTTGTCAGTCTAATATGGACAAATTGCAATCCAGGAGTTAGTCAAAGAAAACCAAGAAAATTATTTTATGCTTACAATTACTATAATTTTGTTTGAACGATTCCTGGCAACTATTGATTCCCTGATCAGTCTGAGAATACTCTAGGTCAAGAACATAGGTATCCAAGGATGACATCATCTCTTCCAGTTGTCCCATGTGCTTTTCACACAGTTCAAAAATGATGACCTTACAGAGCTATGACAACAGAATTTCATTTTTCATTTTCATCTTTAGTGATTATATAACAATTCAAAATTATTTAAATAACTGTCTTTTTTCCCTAATAATAGGCTTTTCTAAAATTATCTCCATTGAATCCTAACTCCTGTGGGTATTGTTCTGGGAAAAAACAAACAAACAAACCAGGATGTGTTAGGTTTGAGTAACTTTCTCAGCTTACTTAGCTCAGCAAAATTTGGAATACAATCCCAAATTCCCTGAGGGGTTCAATTGATTTAATACAGAGGGTTGCAGAGTTTCAGCTTATTGTTTTAACATATGACCAAAGTGAGACCACATTCTACCTTTTTTGGCCTAATTACCTGTATTGCAATTTCCTCCTCCCTAATATATGGGATGGCTCCTAAATGATGAAAGCTTAAAGGCGTTTTTTCCTATGTTAATAACTTTTGGAATGGAGGTAAGAATGGGAGCTGGTTGCCAGTGGAGCCAACCACAGGATTAGAGGGTTAGACATTTCAGATTCTGATTCCCTTCTTGCTTGGCAAGGTGATCAGTGAGAGGCTCAACAGGAAGTCAATGGCAACTCATATGAAATACTTTGAGGAAAAATTAAAACAGAGACGAATTACAAAGGTCAGGATAGGATGGAGGGAAAGCCCAAGGGATAGTACAATACCTCAAGGCTAATCAAAGGGTGGGAGGGGTTATCACCCTAAACCTGAAGAGATGAGAGGAATGGTACCAGTTAATGGTGCCAGGAGACAGAAAGAACTGTGTATGGAGCGTTGCCTGTTAAGAGGTACAGACCCAAGAGACAGGGAGCCAGGGGAACAATACTCAAACCTCACTGCTTTCCCTTATGCCC